TTACATAACCTGGGCATAGTGTTGAACTGTTAATTTAATTGATGTAACTTCTTGGTCTTTTTGAAATTTTAACAGTTAGTAATTCTGTAAGTTTCTGAACATAACAACATCAAATGAACTTAGAATTCCACAAATTTACCTTTTATATACATTATACCATGTTCAAAATACAGATTTTATTACTTGTCTGTAATATTGCTGTCTATTAAATTACAAGTTTCTGTGCTGGAGGGTACACGCACGTATACAAAGATATAGTGTATAATTTTATACTTTGTAAGTGTTTTGGGGGCTGTTAATAAATATGTACTTAAATGTATCAGAAAAGCACTGAAGCTTTATTTGTCCCAGTGCTGTAGCCTTATATACTTTTAAATCTGCTTGAGGTCATGTCAAGTTTATAGATAACAACATCAAATTAGAAGCAGAAGCCAAGTTGAAGGAAGCAATTAATTCAACACCAGCAACTAAATAACTGTAAATATATAAAATCATGAAATTGAATAAAGGTATGCACATTGGAAGAAAACTTAGGTGATATACATGTTATTTGAATGATATAGAACTGACTAAGAATTAGGTTGAAAGCTTATTCTGGAGTGTTATTTGATTTGGTATTTACAGTGTCAAGCTATTTTGGAGCAGCAATTAATAAAATGGACAGAATGCTGAGCTATAGCTAAAACAGGAAAAGATACATTATTGGCTGTTGTATTGAAACTGTACTATGCTTTGGTCAGTGTTGTGTCTTGTGTTGGTCACCTAAATGCAAGAGCAATGTACTAGCCCTGGGATCAAGAAGAGGCATGAGTTTAGTGAAATGATTGATTCATGTTGGTAGGCTGAACAAACTGACATTCTTTAGCCTTGAAACATGGAAACCAACAAAATTCACACTAGGGTAAATATTGCATGCCTAACCAGTATAGGAAAGCTCATCATTCTTGAAGGCGAGATTACGATTGTAGGGCACAGGTTCAAACCGGTGAAAGGAAAGTTTGAGATTGATGTCTGGAAGAATTCTTTCATAGAATCTATAATCAACAATTGGAAAGAATTTCCAGGCAGAGAATTGGAACTATTCAAGTGTTGAAATGGTGTACTGTGATTTTAACTCTCTAAATGAAAGAGTCAGCATGGATGAATAGTCTTTCTCATCTGTATTAATCTTATGAACATTCATGAAATTGACTGAACTTAAAAATCATACACCTCCTCCACACACATTTATAGTGAAAATTGACTTAAGACAATTTATGGTTTTGAATTAAATGACCCACCTGACACATGAAGATGATTTTCATTTTGCTCTAGTGCTTGGATGGTGTCGCTGAAAAATGCATATAACTCAACTCTGCCTAATGCAGCTGATGGCCAATGCTTAGTGTACCATCAGGAACAGCAAGAGACTGAGATGCTGAAATTATTTTTAGATTTACTGTTCAGTAACACTGACAATGCATGGTAGAGTTGCTCCCTGTGATGTTACCTGTATAAAGAATTAAAATCTTGTGTGGAGGAACCTTGGGGTTGAATTGCATGATCCCCATTGATGAGTTTGCATATTGCTAACCTGACTATTTCAACTTGTCCATAATTCTATAATAAGGTGGGCCACCCTTGACCCAATCAAGGCCTTTTAAGTGGCAATTAAAGATCAATTAAGGGCTCTTTTTTTTTTTTCCCCCCATCCAGTCTGAATTTCCAACTTTCTACATATTGGCAGGAGGTGGGGGAAACCTCACATATTACCCTGATCAGGCATCCAACAGGAAAGAAGGTCTGTCCCCCATCCTTAAAGGCTACCTTTCCAGACCCTGCCTCCACAATAGGGTCTGTCCTCCATAGATGTTTACTACTTACACTCATAGACTCCATCCTCTGGAATCTCCAGCAACACTCCTACTATTCTCTTCTCCTCCTCATCATGATTCCACACTCACTTATCTCGTCTTGGACTCTGAGATGTAAAATCTGGGGACTTCTTGTCATCTCAGCCTTTGCCACTGCACTATTGGAAGAGTCACTGTCCAGATTGATCAATAGTTTCCTGAGTCAGGACTTCCTTCTGAGTGAAGGGTGGATGGAGGTCCCATCTTCAGTCAGTTAGTGTTCCAGAGAGTGTTAAATGTCAGTATTGGCAGAGGTGCATTTTCCAGTTGATTTCTCAAGTCTCAGGGTGGAAAATTCAAAACACACTGCCCCTTGAACTTTCCTCTGCCCGACGAAGAGGATAGTCGCAGAGTTAAAATGGAAATGGTAGACTTACTTCACAGCTCTACCAATAATTTTCTAAGGCCTTTTGCTGGGTTGGACAAGACGACAACCTGAATGAGGCAGGTGTCTCATTAATCTCTACAAATTGCCCTGCATGGTACATAAGTTAAAGTGCTCTTGGGTGCTTCACTTAGTAAAACCTGCTGGATAAACAGGTGAGACCTGGAAAAGTAGATTTTGAAATTATTTACCAGGAGGATCACTGGACTACACAAGAGTAATGTGAATGATAGCTGCCTTCAGATTTTCATGCCCACAATCATGATCTCCAACTTGCTATCCATCCTTTGGCCAAATCTCACTTTCCAATGTTTAGCCGTATCCATTTAGTTCATGCAGTTCCAGTGCTTATCTAAATACATTTTTAAGCACTTTTGTCTCTTTCTCTTTCATCTCGTCTCTCTCTCTCCCTCTCATTCTAGATTCCCTGTGTTCTATTCAGTTGTAATTTTCAGGTGAGCACTAAACGTGCCTATATCAGGCAATGTGCTAATTTGCCATTTTTTTATCAGGAATTGAGCAGCCTAATGAATGGCCTCTAATAGTGTTGTAAAACTAATCAGAAAACAGCCAAGTAAATTTTAAAATACGAAATTTATTTGTGTGCAATGGGATAACTGCTGATTTTATGCTCGACTCTGGCAGAAGGTGAAGATCGTACTGCCCAGTACTCATTCATGTCGCATGTGTGGGACAAAATCTGGAAGGAAGTAGCAGAGTTCAGGCCTGGGTATGATCAACTCTGTGGGAGGGAAAAGACCAGGTATAGGAGGAAGAAGAAGTGTGTGGGGTTTGAGAACTTCCTAAAATTAAAACACAGAAACAGTTGAAAACTATGAATGGAGGGCTGGATGTTCCACTGCGGAACTTTATAGTTCTGTCGGTATTGCTACATGGCATTTACATATCCTGCATTGGACGATCCCTTTTGGAGATAGTTTTGACTTAGTGCATTGGACCAAAGTGAGAGATAAGGAATTGGCAGCAAGTTTTACATCTCTCCTGATCTGACATTTGATTTTCATTGATGTCAAAGGGAGATGCTGATTTATTATTACTCATTTTGCACTATCTCAAGGTCAAAATAATTTGCATTGTGAAATCAGAAAAATGTGCTTTGTGACTTTGGTTCAATGTTGTTAATTTTTATATATTTATGATATTAAAAATTTAAATTTAAGGTAGAGAGTCAAATGACTAGGGAACCAAGATAGCTGCTGAAACTACATCAGGGGTGATTTGCCATCTTACGCATGGAATTTATTTTTTCAAGGGATTGAAATTAATGTTTAATTTATCTTGATTAGCTTACATTTCATACACTCTTAAAAAGCATGCTTTGTACCCAACAGATTTTTGAATGTGTTGGAAGTGTGCCAGATGTAAAACTTCCATTTACACAGATTTTTAAATGTGTGAGAGAGTCCAAGAAGTCATTTCCTCTATCCTCATATCAGCTTCCTGCATCACCAAGTGTAGTCAAAAGTGAAAAAGATGGTGCGATTTTTCTGCACCAAAATACTGTGTTCTGTGAATTTGCTTTGCATGTACTGAATTCATGAGGTCATGCGATGTAACTGAGAAGTATGTCATCATCATAAAATGGGAGCAGATGAAAGGTTTTGAATCACTGTTCAATCTCATAATGACACGTTGATCAAACTGGTGTCATCATGGTGACTGGCTCCACATGACTTCTTAGGATCTGGGTCAAAGACAAAGTTAGATCTGATTAATTTTGCACTTCATTGGAATAAATGTTTAACACTCTCATATGATCCCATGAGTATCCTATTTTATTATTGATTCAATATACTGATCAACACGAGCTGAAAGCAATCATTTATTGGCATTCTTTTAGCGCAGACTTTTTTTCAAGGGAAGAAGGGAAATATAGGGAGCATGGACATAAAAATCCAAGTTGCTGTGGTCAGATATTCTTCAATCTGTAAATGATAGTGTAGTAGGTTTAAATGATGCATCACAAAATTACAAGGTTTGCATTGTGTGGTTTTTAATGTTTTCTTAATAGAACCAAATCAACATTGGATTGGATTGTGCTTGCGATGGAAGAAATATACAATGATATGAAGAAAATGCAACAAAATGGGAGAATAATGGATTGCTTCTTTTGATGTATTAACATCTACACAAAGAGTGTGTTCAACTTGTAGTGACGGAGTAAACAGGTGGTACCAGATTAGACATTGGTCCTATAGATTGTCCAGTTCTTCTTTCTCCTTCATAATTCCTGTAAATCAATCAAATATTGAATGGGGCTGTTCTTTAGAGTGGGACTCTCCACCTTCAACATAAAAGCACAACTAGTGCAACTGTCACTGATGCAAATATGAAAGTGCATTATTTCCCAATAATAGCAAGTGTAACTTTTTTTTTCATACAAAATGTGATCAAAACCCTACAGACGTAGGTGTATACCTGGGAGGAATTAGTTAATCTACAGTCTTTTTAGTGCAAGGCTGCACAATGCAGAGTTAGCTCCTATAATCGCAAGTCCGAGTGATGGTGGAAGCTAATATATTCGTCCCAGTGCTCTGTGATAGGTGGTGAACCATGCAGCAAGATCCTAAACTCATTAGGAATTGCGTTTGATGGTTTTCCACACCAGCTTAACCGCAGCTTATTATTTCAATTATTTCAATTTCCAAATAATGCACTGGTCGCGATGCACATGACAGTCATAAATTTAAAGTATCAATGTACTCCCCTTCAAAGCAATCAACTTCACACAAAGTGTATCCATGTATTCCAATGGAAGAAGTTAAAACCCTGCATAAAACAAATGAAAATATCATTCCATTCAGCCAGTTAGAAAGTTCATACAATGAAGTATGTTTGCAAGCTTTTCAAACTCACATTGAAAAGTGAATTGCAATCCTAAACACTTAACAAATGCAAATATTAAAATAATTTTTAGGTTTTAAATTCCTTCCTTTCTACATACATCTTATTTCTAAATAAAAACCAGTGATTGCACTTAAGATTATCTTGGGACCTCGTTGGGAGAACTTACTGTGATTGTACATCATTTAAACTCATTTATAAACAGGGTGATTCAGCAATTTTGCCATTTCAGCTATCTATGCTAATGAACTCCTTTCTGTTGTCTGAGTCACTAACATCAACTAACCAGTTCCCTTGATGATCTATTAAAAATAGATCAAGAGCAATTAAGTGAGAAAAAAATGCAATGATGTTAAGTCAATAATAATTCTTTTGGAATTTTCTCTTCAGTTAGTAGTGGTTTATCCTCTTTAAAGACTAGCTAGAAAAAATCATTTGTGTGAATCGTTTATCACATTTTGCCAATTATTTAATAGGATTGTGCATACTAAACTTATTTTTAGGGCTCAAATTGTTTTCAGTACTGGAAAACTTCTATTCAATCCAAAGTTCTTTTCTTGGTCTCCCAGAGCTATGCACTGATATGACAAGCAAAAGACTTTTTTTTTCCACTGCACATCTGCTAATTACATCTGTATTCAGCTGGCAACAGTGACACCTTTCAGTGTTTCCTCTTGTGGTTGCATTTGTTACCTTTTTTATATTCATACAGTTGAGATCAGCAGCTTTGACTCCATGGTGCCACTCTTTGGGATTGCGGAGTTCAGTCATTTTATAATTATTATTTCAGTGGGACTTGCCTATAGCAAGATCAGATACTTGCACATTTCTTTTGTGCAGACATTTGCATACAAGATTTTATTGTGTAAAGAGAAAGTCACTGATATAATCAAATTCTTCTCAATCTCTTATACAATATACATGAGAAGTTTATTCTAGTTCTCATATTGTACTGAAATACCTACAACTGCAAAAGGCAGATCTAATTATAAGCAATTTTCTATTTTCACTGATATGCTTTGTGAAAGCATTCTCTTCATCTTTTTATGAAGAGTTGGATTCATTGATTTTACTTGTTCCTAAAATTTGTTCAGTGCAGTTGTAGGTTTTCATTGATAATTCAAGTTTGCCATCTATGATGATATGAGAAACGCTGTCTAATCCACGTGGAAGCATGAAATGCTTACAACACGGTAGGAGACCATTCGGCCCATCATGTATTGCTGTTTTGGCACTAACATCTAGTGTTACTCACCTCCCTTTCCCCCGTAAGCCCTGCAACTTATTTGTTTTCATTTCAGATTATGATTTGGTTTCTTCTTTTGAAAGACAAAAATCGACTATACCTCCAGCGCACTGCCAGACGGGGTATTCTAGATATTAGCTACTCGCTCTGTGAAGTGGTTTATCTTCATGTCTCCATTGCTTTGTTTGCTAATTACCTTAAGTGTGTGCCCCTCTGGTTCTCATTCCTTGCACCAATGGTAACAGTTTCTCTCTCTCTCTACTCTGTCTACATCCCTATGATTTTGTTACATTTTGTCTGTTCTAAGGCTATTAATGTGCATCTAAATATCAGTCTTAATCAATTGTCCCACTTCATACTGTTTCAGAATCTTTGAGCTGTAAGAATTGATCCTTTCCTTTCCCGTTGTTTGAATGTCTCAAAGGATCAATTTGAAATTCTTCGCTGTCATTTGGTCAAGGTGTAAGGAAACTTCCAGTCCTAGTAAAATTATTTCAAGCTTCTTCCAGAATGCTTTTAATTTGCTGTGAAATTGTCTAGACTGGAGTTAAAGCTGTCAGAATCCAATTCATTAGATTGCCAATGTGCCAGGCATGCAAAGATTTGAGCTAACACTTTGTTAATTACTAGCCAAATATTCCTGTTGTTTTTTTAGAAAACCACAGATATAAAAGAAAGGGTCTAGTGTCAAAAGAAGGTGCTATCAAATTATGTAGATCATTGCATATAGATCAAATTATATAGATAATCGAAGATTCATAATCCCTAGAAAAGGCTAGTCAAAACAGAAGAAAAATACCTGTTGTTTTTTAATGATTGTAATGACTAACTTATTATATTTTATAGCTGCAATTAATATTTATATAGGATAGTGATCTAATGAATGGGAAAAATTAGAAACAAATAAATATTCTTATTTACGTAGGTACTTACCACCTAACTATTCTGATTCCATTTTCCAGCACTTTGCCCACAGTGTTTTAGCCTTGGCATCATAAATGCACATCTAAATACTTTGTAAATGTTATGAGGGTTTCTGCCACCACAACTTTTACCGGCAGTTAGTTCCAGATTCCCACAACCTGCTGAATAAAATATTCTTCCTCATATCCCCTCTAAACCTTCTGTTCTTTATCCTAAATCTATGCTCCCCGATAATTGATCCCTCCAAGGGGAAAGTTCCTTCCTGTCTACCCGATCTATGCCCCTCATAATTTTATGCATCTCTATCGTATACCCCCTCCAATCTTCTCTGCTCCAAGGAAAATAACGCCAGTCTGTCCAATCTTCTTTGTAACTAAAACTGTCCCACACAGGCAACAGAGATAACAAGGTGTAGAGCTGGATGAACACAGCAGGCCAAGCAGCATCATAGGACCAGGAGTTGCCACACAGGCAACATCCTGATAAACCTCCTCCACCCTCTCACCAGTGCAATTACATCAAATGTGGATTCCAGGACTGTACACAATAATGGATTAATATGACTAGTGGTATCCCGCAGAGACCTGTGCTGGTCCCTCAACAATTCACAATATTCATTAATAACTTGGATAATGGCATAAAAAGACAAATATCCAAATTTGGTGACAACACAAAATTGGGCAACATTGTAGACTGTGTTGATGACAGCATAAAATTACAACAGGATGTTGATAGATTAGGTGAATGGGCAAAGCTATGGCAGATTTTAATATAAACAAGTGTGCAGTTATTCATTTTGCTTGGCAAAATAAAAGATCAATACTTTTTAAAAGGGTTAAATTAAAATGGATGTCCAATGATATTTGGGGTTCAAGTGCATAGCTCTTTAAAATACCACAGATAGGTGCAGAATATGGTCAAGAAGGCTAATGGAATATTGGTCTTCATATCTAAAGGGATTCAGGCATTATGCTCAAGTTTTGCAAAACTCAAGTTAGACCCTACTTGGAGTACTGAGAGCAGATTTGGGAGCTATATCTTAGGAGCAATGTTTTGACCCTGAAGCGAGTTCATCAGAAGTTTACAAAGATGATACCAGGACTTCAGAGGTTAACTTGTGAGGAAAGATTAGACAAATTAGGTCTTTATTCTCTAGAATTTAGAAGGTTAAGGGGTGATCTAATTGAGGTCTTAAAGATATCGACAAGAAAGACAGGGTAGATAAAAATACACTATTTCCACTTGAAGATTCTAGAACCAGGGGGCATAGTCTAAGAATTAGGGCCAGGCCATTCAGGAGAGATTTAGAAAGCACTTCCACATGCAAGCAATAGTGAAGGTTTGGAATTCTGACTCATTTAAAGAAGAATGATAATTCAACTGTTAAATTTAAATCCGAGGGAGACAATTTTTCATTAAGTTATGGTATCAAGGGATATGGGCCAAGGCAGGCATATACAATTAGGCCACAGATCAGCCATGGTCTTATTGAATGGCAGAACAGCTTTCAGGGGCCAAATGGCCTACTTCTCATGTTCCTATATTAAAGCTGTGGCCTCACCAATGTTTAATACAGTTCCAGCATAACCTCCCTGCTCTTAACTTTATTAGCTGAAGCATAGAGAGTATGTTTTCCAAACGACATTTTGTCTACCTCTCCTGCTACCTTAATAAACCTCGGTACTTCCCAGGGTCCTACCATTCATAATATATTCCCTTGCCTTGTTTGACCAGCCCCAGTGCATCACCTCACACTCATCCAGATTTAATTCTGTTTGCACTGATCAGCCCATCTGTATTGCCCTGCAATCTAAGGCTCATCAGTACTTACCACCCAATCAATTATTATACCATTCACGACCTTACTGATCAACCTTCCGAGATTGATATCTAAACCATTTATATATACCACAGAGAGCAAGGACCCAACATTGATCCCTGCAGAACCCCACTGGACACAGGCTTCCAGACAAACAAAAACCCTCAGCCTTCAATCTTTGTTTCCTGCCCCTCAGCTAATCAGAATCTCCTCTTAGTTAAATTAAGTAAATTACTAAATTAATTTCTTTAAGAAATACTTAAATTGTTTAAGTATATCACAGTCCTCCTCCATGACTTGTATGCACATCATATAGAACACACAAATTACCACTGTGGTCCTTAATGGGCCCTACACTTTCCTTGGTTATCCTTTTACCTTTATGGTTTGTATTGGTCAAGATTTATGCCCACCAATAAGTTCTCTATTAGCAACATGGTAATAGTGAAATAACCAGGAAATCTGAGTGTATATCTACCCAAAGTATTTAAATAGAGTTCTGAAGAGATCTCATTACTGCATGCCAACAATCAAAGGAATTTTGCCACTTACAGAAGCAAAAGTCTTCACTAACCTGTACGTGAGGGATGGCTACTAGCAAGCGAAGCTGAATGAAAGCAATTTCTTTCAACCTACATTCTGGACACTATTTGGGAGATGCAGAAGGTTGTGTGCATGTTCTTTGGCATTTCCATGACTCCAGAGGAACATCAATTCAGACACAATGAAATAGTTAGTGATCTACCTGACGTGAATGATTTGCTGGTTTATGGATATAGTCATTTAGTTGTACAGAACTTGAGTATTGCTAAAAAAAGACACATTTTGTTGAAGCTGTTTTTTCTTGCAATCTTAATTGAAATATTTAAGTGGTAGGACGTTAGGTGTCATTCCATCAAATACAGGTTTCTTTTGGAAACTAACAAAGATCTTTGTAAGATACACAAAGAAGTTATTGCTGATGATTATCAAATTCTAGTGTGACAGCTAGGCAGCTCACCAGATGAACCTGAAGGGGAATAAGAAAAAATTGCAACTAAATATGCCTGATGCCAAGTCCGTAGTTTATGCATTCACATCAAAGTGTCTTCGCCCAGATCCTGAAAAGATGAAAGCTATTGCAGTGATGCAGCGCTCAACAAATGTAAAAAAGACCCACTGAATTTGTCAACCACTTAGCAAAATTCTTACCCAGTTTGTTACCATTCTCTGTGCTTGTGAAGATTTTCTTCAATACCTACTTGGAAGAGACAAAGTGATAGTCAAGCCTGACCACAAGGCAATACAATTCAAATACTTTTTCTTAACTCACTAGCATCTGCATAGAACAGTTGTCACCCTGATCATACATGGTGCGTGTGATAAATTAGATATACCATTACAACTGCAAGCTCTTTTGCACAACCAGAGAAGCCGTTCCTCACCTGCTGGCAGCTGATCAGGATGATGCAAACCCATCATATTTGCACTGATCAATAATCAGTCCCAAAGGTCCAAGGCACCCATCAATGGAAGTGAACCAACAATGAGTACAACACAACATGGGAAACAACATTGATCAAAGATGGAATATCACCAAGATGAATAGTCAATGATTTACATGCACATGGACCATTATGAGATCACCATTATGCCTGATGATCTTTAAGTCATGCCGAGAGACTGACGATAACAAACCGTTAACACATGAGAACAGTGAAGTACATAATGGCTCCTTTGGGTAAATAACAATGTGAATGTTGCATACAATTTTTTTTACGAAAAGGGAAATGTTTAGGTTAGAAATGCAACACAGTTCTAATCTACCTCCTGGCTTATAGGGATCATATAACCTCTATCATGAGGTACTCACTCGGGCCATCCGTCTTACAGCCAGTTCAATAAAGACACAGTATAAGACAGTGCTGTAATGCAAAGTTGTGACAAACCACATGAGTACAAAAAGAAATCTATAAAGTGAGGGCTCAGTGTTTCCATACCTTGTGTGGTCCAGTTTGGAAATTGCAAGTGATGTTGAGTAACATAATCATACATTTGAATCTGTTTTATTAGTAATTTAGTGCATAAATATCAGTATAAAATTGAAATGCTCCCTGCTAAATCCTGATGTTTTCAGGCAAACAACACACTAGACTGACTTGTAGGGCTGGGAAAGCAATAACACCAACCTGCTTTTGATCACTGGTCAATGACAATGCTAGTCATGCATTAATTTGGTGAAGAAAGTGTCTACCCTGCTCAGTATGATGACTGTCAAAGTTTGAAGATCAAGATTAGCTGTTAAGGTGAGGTGTTGAGCTTTCAATTGTTCAATCATTAGTTATTATCTTCAGAACAAAAGAGAATCAATTTGTACAAAACACGTGTGTGATGTGCTGTGTATGAATGAAAGTCATTGTATTGGCAAAAATTTATAATGGAAGGATTCAGAGGAAAGTATCAAAGCCATTACAGGCTTGAGATCACTGAGTTATGAAGAGTGCTCATAAAAGCTTGCTGTGAAACAGAATGGATATGATCCAAGTTTTTAATTTAATGAAGTAAATTGATAATGGAGAAATCATGCAAAACCAGGTCAGAAGGACACGGCAGAACAAAGAAACAGTCGGCTAAACTTAAAGCATGAAATAAGCAGGACTGGTACTTTTTAGTTTGAAACACTTTTTTTGTAGAAGTTCTGGTCCTTTATAAAATAATCTCAGACAGAACTTTGCCAATAACTTGTAACACAATTTTCTTACGAGCATGTTCAAGCCAGAACACCTCCCTGCCACCTTTCTCATCTGCATTCATAGAGTGGAAAAATCCCCAAGCATCCAAACGAACCTTTTGAGAAACAATGGGTACTAATTCCAAGTCAATCTCTGGAAGGCAGGCTACTGTTGTAGGATTCCTGGTCTGTAACAAGATTTCCCAGAACTGGGTAGCTTCACAGGATGTCTTGGATTAGTTTGAACTATATTTTGCTTAGGATCGTCTGGAATATTCCTCATTGTTGTAATTGTGTGGCATGCAAGGAAAACTGAAAAGATTGTTTAAAAAGCATGAAATTCCATGGATTGATATTTCCATTTATAAAATGAAGCAGTGGTTTGAATAAAAGTATTCCCAAGGCTTTCCCATACGCTTAACTTCTTCACACTTAGTATATTCCACAGTTCAGTAATTCTACCAATTTAGTACAGTGACTTTTGACTGTGGGAATGTAACGGGGAACTGGATGAGTTTTGAGTTCAACAAAGAGAAAAGATAGGGGCTGTAATATTAGGCTGGAAGTAGGGTGGATTTTTGAGATCTGGAAAACAAGTTTCCCTTGCATCTAATTAAATTTAATAGCATGACTTGATTAGTATTTTTGACTGACTGTTTTCTGGCCATAGCTAGATGGATTGAGAGGCTGACCATTGAAGATAGGTCTTTAGCACCAGTCCAAAGCTGGGGAATGGAAGGCAAAGAGGGATCAAACATCTTGGTGGAGATCACAGCACCATGGACACCGGTTCGATTCCGCCCTCGGGCGACTGTATGTGTGAAGTTTGCAAATTCTCCCCGTGTCTGCGTGGGTTTCCTCCGGGTGCTCCACTTTCCTCCCACAGTCCAAAGGTGTACAGGCTAGGTGGATTGGCCATGCTAAATTGCCTGTAATGTTCAGGAATGTGTATATTAGGTGGGTTATAGGGGGATGCGTCTGGGTGGGATACTGTGAGGGTCAGTGTGGACTTTTTGGGCCAAAGGGCTTGTTTCCACACTGTAGGGATTCCAAATCTATATCTATATCATGAAGGATCAGGCAGTGGGGGAGATTGGAAGGAGCTTTTGGTAGGGGGAGATTATAAATGTATTGGAAGAAGATCTGAGCAATCGGAAGGGGGTAAATCGAAATTGCTTCAGCGATTAAAAGTAAGAGGGAGAGGGGGAGATGCTTGGAAGAGCCAATGCTGGATGGAATTGGAAAGGATGTGTCCAATCGCAATAAATCGATGAAATCAGTGAATTGGATTCAAGAGTGCGTTGCAAAGGGGATAAGTAGCTCCTGGATCCAGTAATTCTTGCCTCTATTTATTTGCCAGGTTAAATTTAGAAAGGTGGTAAATTCTGAGACACACAGCCTCATTATAGGATTAAAGTGAACAAACATAATCCTGTGAGCAAGTTGGTTTCCCATCCCTCCCAACCTGGCCTCTATTCAAAGCAAAAGTGGTCAACTGGGAGGCAGGTTGCATTTATTTTTTTTAATGTACCAGTGTGATTGAAGCCTACACACTTGGGTGGGTTAAACTCCATCCCCTCCCTAACCTGCATAGGATGAGAAATAGTCTGATTAGATGCCAAGAGAGTATTTGGATGAGAGCAAGCCGCACGTGTTTAGCGGTCTTTTTCACTCCCACTCTGATCTCTTATCTCTCAAATTTCTGTTAGCATTCCCATTTTTTCTCTTTGTGATAACTGTTGTCAAAGGTGTCAGCATGTATCCATTCAGTGCTCTTGTAAATACGTTATGAATCTTTCATTATGTGCTGGTTTTATATAGCCTGGCTATAGGGAAACAAATCGAACTTGTGTTTATGAAAAATTGCTGAACACTGAAAACCAAATGGGAACATGTCGCAATCAAGATTTTTTTCCATAAACTCCCTCAATTTCTCATATCAGCTTCAGCTTAGACTGAGCATTAAATCAAATGTGGGCAAAAATTTTATGTTCCCCAGCAGAGTTTGCAGGTTGAAGGGAGAAAACTAAAATTCCTCCAATAGCATTCTCTCTCTTCCCAGAACTGCCTATCCGGACTTCTTCACAATTTTAGATATTATTAATCACCCTGCGCAGACATATTATGACACTCCTCTGGAGCAAGTGGGACTTGAATCTGTGTTTTCTAGTCCAGAGGTAGGGACACTACCGCTGTACCACAAGATCCTTATTAGATGTTATTATACACCTCTGGAGCAAGTGGGACTAGAACCTAGGCCTCCTGACTCCAAGGTAGATTAACCCCTTTTTCTCATTTTCTAACATGACGATGGGCAAGGCCTAAACTACTCACTTACCTCAACTGAGACCCTTCAGTCACCAATTGATGACAACCTAAGGGCTATTTCCTGCCCAGCTCCAATTATCAGGCTGGTGGGAGGCGATCGTGGCAGGAGGAAGCTTGGAAAGTGTTCTGTTCAGGTTTCGGGCAAAAAATGTCAGTGTGAGGACACACCCATCAAAAGCCTCCTTTCTGCATGGAGTTCTTCCTCCACAAGATCTGGTTCCTGAAGGCATTCGTTTCCCTCGGAGCTCTCCATGCTGATGTGAACTCTGAGGACTATGTGCAGCACTTTCTTAGTGCAGGGCAAAATTCCCATTTAATAACTGTGGGACAATAGGAATCATGCTGCTGACACTTTGGCAGATGGGAAGAGAAACTCTGCCATCCTAAAAATCCTGATTCTGAAGTTCATCGAAACATTTTTAAAAATCTTAATTATTTCTGGGGTCTTGCAGGGGATGGGACCACATTCTCTGAAACTAGATGCAAAAATAAGCAAAACACTGACTCACTTTCCATTTGGTTGCTGTTTTCTGTGGAGGAATCGACAGACTGGTGAAATGCTGAGAAGTCTATGGAACAATAAGAATTATTTGAATATAGTGATTTATATATATGACCATTATGTTCATATATATACTTCAGGTAAAAATAACAGTCATGCAACAATTTACCATTATTTATTGCTATCTATTTTCACGTAGCCTTTACATATAATTAATGTAAGATCATTTTGTTGTTGTCTACTTACACTGCTAACCTTGTGGTTCAGAAAATTGAAAGTCAATACCCTCCTCATCATTTGAAATCTGCACCAGCCTTCATCGCACTGTATTGATGGACAATCTGTACCATTGCTGTTGATGTTGCTTGGACTCTGTGGACTGCTGTTCACTCTAAGATGGATTTGCTGCCACCACTTGGGCTGAAAGTGGCAAGTAATGTTTTATGCCACACAAATTCCAGCAATGGCCATCTCCAACAAGAGAGAATCTAACCACCGCCCCTTCACATTCAATGGCATTACCATTACTCCCCCACTATCACCATCTAGGGTGTTACCATTGATCAGAAATTGAGATAGCAATATGAACACTGGCTATAAGAACAAGTTAGAGGTAGGAATACTGCAGCAAGTAACTCCACTCCTGACTCCCCAAAGCCTGTCCACCATCTACAAGGCATACTAAGGTGTATGATGGAGTATTCCCACTTCCCTGGATGAGTGCAGCTCTAACAACACTCAAAGCTTGACACCATCCAGGACAAAGCAGCCCGCTTGATTGGGACTACATCTACCAATATGCACTCCCTCCACCACCAATGCTCAGTAGCAGTAGTATGTACCATTTACGAGATGCCTGGCAAAAAATCACCCAAGCATCTTAGACCGTATCTTCCAGACCCATGACTGCTTTCATTTAGAAGAACAGGGGCAGCAAATATATGGGAACACCACCACCTGCAAGTTCCCTTCCAAGCCACTCACCATCCTGACTTGGAAATATATCACCATTCCTTCAATGTCACTGTGCCAAAATGCTGGAATTCCCTCCGTAATGGCATTGTGGGTCTACCTACAGTACGTGGACTGTAGCGGTTCGAGAAGACAGCTCACCACCACCTTCTCAAGGGGCAACTAGGGACGGGCAATAAATGCTGGCCAGCCAGTGACAACAATGTTCCATGACTGAATTATAAAGGAACAATTAAAAAAATTCTCTCTTGGTATGGATGGTAGCGGTAGAGGTAAACACTTGGGAGTTGAACAAGAGGCTCTTGGTTTAAACAAGACGAAGATTATTTCATGATACCACCTAGGAATACCTTTTGTACTGTTGTGATAGACATTGTACAGAGAGTATGAGGAGAAAGCTGGATGATAGGTCTCACTCCTTCAAGGTCTTGATCTGTTCACTGAAAAGCCCACTTGCTACCATCATAGTGGATGGTGCATAAGGCAATCCTCAGCATTAACCCTTTCAGACCCTTATAAAACATTCTCCACTTATGCCTCCCAGGTACCATCTCCCATTTCTTTGGATTATTGTTTTTCCTTTATTCCCCTGTTTCACTATTAAAGGCTAATCTGTCACATATTATTCTTTTGGGATCAGGATTTATCCCCACTCCAGTACATTCTACTTCAAAAATCCTCCATCATCATTGCTCTTTTGGGTCTACCCCTCTAAGTTCCTTTCCTTTAAATAGTTCATGCTTTTGCAAGGTACAGAATATGGATTTAAGTTGTTTTAAAAATTGTTACTTAAGCTTGCTTTTAAACATATCAGTATTCTATGAATGGATCTAATTGATAATGCAAGGTATGTCAGACTGGGAAATTACAACCTTTTGAACAAGTTGTATTCATTGCAAATTTCTGCTTGGAAAATGCACAAATTAAGAATTCACGTGTTACAGGAAAAAAATGTTTTAAAACAAACTCACTCTGCAATGATGGCGGAGAAATCTCTAATTCTATCCTGTACTAAAAGACTTTGTTTGTTTGTTTTTCTTATGCTAACAGTTCAGTTTTAAAAATGAATTTTTGAATCAGCTACCATTTTCTTCAGTGTAGTGATTCAGATCAAATATATTGCAAGTATTTTTCAATACACAAACACACAGAATCAAAACACTTCTTTTTTTGTCTTTTTTTTGTTATCCCAAACTTTTCCACAACTCCACCCCACACAACAACTGCCCCCAACCCCTCAGTCATTATGTCTCTTACCAGGTCCTTTTGGCTGGAGGAAGCAACGGCTAAGCCTGCAGACATCTCCATTAATATCAGCCAGTGCTTGATCCATAATGTGTTCACCTCCACTTGATTAATATAAGGAGAGCATTTCTTAAAAGGCCTTCCACTAAGGCTGAATGTCATCAAACCTGATTGGAAATCTAGGCTAATTAGAGGAAATTTCTGGGGCATCCAATTCCATTCATTCATGTTCTGGGTTTAATCCTGCAAACCAGTCACTGCAGGGATTCAGGGTGACATTGATGAGGTTTAGGGCATAGCTGTGAATGAGTACAATGATTTGTACAGGACCTGTGATTAAATACAGCAAGTTTAATTCTCTACTAGGAAGAAAGCAATTTCATGATGAATTAAAGCACAAAATGACTTAACAAACATAACAGCAGCGTTTATGAAGCTCTGCTCATAGTGTGTTAGTCTTCATGATAGAAGCACAAAGCATACAATCTATGCCTCCCTACTGCTTGCTAGTTTGATGGGTGCAATGGATTAGAAACAAGTCTTTCTGTACCTGGCTGAGTTTGAATTTTGCTGAATATGAAATGATTTTCTTTGTGGTTGGATCTTGGCCATAATGAGCATGAGCAGTGTCAATCTAATCTCAAATTGGTGCAAGTGCATAGATCAAAGCTGGCATTGACTGCTATAAAATTTGCACCTCACATAGGAGGTCAAAGGGATGGCTGCCGTTGTCAGTGTGAAACTCTGCACTGCCACAGTTTGAAGGAGTCATCTAAAGATTGAGAAAAAGGAATGTTCCAGGATAACTGGTTGTGCTAAATGTTGACACTGGGTGGCAAAAGTGTTCCACTCCCCAGCATTAGCATGCTTCACCTAGAAGAACATACAATGTAGCCTAAACACTGTAGAAATACATTGCCAAACACTTCCAGCAATCTATTTTGTAATATCCCTATCTTTAAAAAATGTTCTATGAATTAACTTCAAGAATATTTTGTTGGAAAGGTGTGTGGGATTCCAAACCGCAGCTTGTTCAGAACCGGGAGCAGCTTCTTTGCTTATATTACAGTATTGGTGCTAGTCACTGCAAAGGCGTTAAGAAGGCTGCTGCTTATTAGATGTAAATCATATGTCGGTTAATGCTAAAAGATGTGAAAGCGAAACCATTGAATTCAGGTGTTCATTCATGTTCTGGAGTTAACCATTAATTTTCTGTTAGATCAGTTTTTAACAAATTACATCAAGTTGAAGGAATATCTGAGACACAGCAAGGGCAATAATTTCATTCAGGATTTTAGATGATGTTCAAAAATTTTTATTCTAGAGATTTGGGCATCACTAGTCAGGCCAGTATTTATTGTTCATCATTTGGTTCTCCTTGAGACAGTGGTGGTGTAGCTTATTGAACTGCTGCAGTCCATGTTTTGAAGCTAATCTTATGGTGTCGTTAGACGGGCAGTCTCAGGATATTGACCCAGTGACAATGTAGGATTGCCGGTATATTTCTATGACAGGTTAGTGCTTAAATTGAAGAATACGTGAAGGTGATTATGTTCCCATCTACCTGCTACCCTTATCCTTCTAGGTGGTACATGTTTCAGGTTGGGGAGGTATGGTTGAGGATCACAGAATCAGATAGATAATTGTGTGCAGAAGGAGGTCATTTAGCCCATTGTGTCTGCACTGCCTCTGGATTGTTATAAACTGTAGGAATAAATTATAAGAAGAGGGTTTGGACAGTTTTTTACTCTATTTTCCTCCATAGACCATGTACCATTGTCCACTGTAATTCATAGAGAAGAAAGTGCTCCCTTTTAAGGGGAACTGAGTGAACAGGGGTCTTCACAAACTCAGCAACTTCATGTTGCACACAATTGATCTGCTGTCTGGCACTGTTGTCTCTTACAGTTACTGACAGCATTATTAGCAACCTGAAATACATGTCTAATGAGCCGCCAATAAAATTCCTTAATGAGTGCAATGCAACTCTAGCGTACTAAGCATGATCATTTGAAATGGTTAGTAAAGGACCACGGGGTGGATCCTTTTTTTGGGAAGGTTTCATTAAGCTGTACAACTCCCTTTTTCTATTTGTTGCCATAGTGATTTGTTTGTTTGGTCAAATTTGATTGGTCACAGCAAACAGGAGTTTAAGTGTAGTCAAACAACTCCAGAAATATACTATGTGATGATATTATGGCTCTAAGTGATTTGTCTGTCCTTTTTTTTAAATGAAGAGGGGTTGAGACAGAGATGCCGAGCGGTCGGCTTCAAGCCAATAAATAAAACAGTTTGAGGCCTTGGGGTTTCTTTCTAAAGTTGGAACAATAGAAACAGCATGAATGGGTGTGGTCAAGCTCCCACAGAACCAGGATTTTTAGTTTAGCTTTCAGTAGCTGTTATGAAAGCTGCTACATCTCTGTCTCTCTGCTATAAGCTTGGGTTCTCTTCCTGCTGCTAGAATTCATGTGAGACAATTTATGTTACAAAATTTGATTTGCCTTTGCCAAAGGTGTGCTTATGAGTTCCACTTAAGCCAGTTCTTTTATTTTGTCTGTATTTTAGCTATGGTATACGAATAAAGTGTGTTTTTCTTCTTCAAGCCTGATAGTTCGACCAATCGAATTCCATCTGGAATGCAACACCTGGCACTAGCCTTTAAAATAAGAAAAGGTTGGGATCTAGGCTATCTCTTTGACATGTTTGCAGGGGGTTTGGTCTGGTCCATAACAACTATTCCTATCTATCGCATTAAAGAACACCCTGCAGGAAGTGGTTAGCAACCTTCACTACCTTGGGTTCACTGACAATCTCTCTCTTGGTGCAAAACCCAATACAGGCATTAGGAAAGAAGCTGCCACTTTTGGCCAACTCTCAAAAGTGCATGGAATAACATTACCTGACCCTTCAGACCAAAGTGGAAGCTCAGCACTTGAAATGTACATCCTTGCTGTTTACAGTGAATGCTGGGCATCTCATGGAAGAACAAAATCGTGAATGCTGCATCCTCTCAAGACACATCTCATGAGTATGTTGGTACTTATCAAGCAGAGGCTGTCTTGCTGATTTGAGTATGTTCACAGGATGGAAGACCATTGCATATTTAGGGATTTTCACAATGGTTAATAGCCAGGCCCACCTGACCAGTGAATTGCTCAAAACGCCACCTTGAACACTTGCAGGCATGACATGAAGGCCCTGAACGTTGGTTTTCGCACTTGGGAAACAATAGCTAATGTGAGGTATATGGTGTTTTTTGCCTCTGCGCCACCATAAACATCAGTAGCTACAGCAATTTAGTAACAGGTGTCAACACAAGCAATCCACAAAGACATCTGTTAATCACCTCATTTGGTACTTTTGACAGAATCTATCACTCGTGGATCAATTTCTTCAGCCATCTGTAGAAATGTACCAAATGATGCTCCACCATCCCTGAAGGTTTGGATTCACTACCTATCCATCATCGTACACAGAAGGTGGCTAGTAATGCCCGATGTTATACTTAAAACTGCAACATACAATTGTGTAACTCATTGAGAAGATAAGTATATCCTAAGGTACTTCATACAACTGTAACGAGACACAAATGGATACCAAAACTAAACAAATATTAGGAAGAGTGACTAAGAGCATAACCAAAATGGGGATTTCGACATTGATCTTAAAGGAGGAGAGCTGGAGAGGCAGAGAGGTTGAAGAAGAGAATTTCAGAGCATAGGGCCTGGATACCTGAAGATGGCATGCTGGGAATGGAAATGCAAACAATGCCAGGGATATAGGAATGTAGTCTTAAGATTTTGTAGGGCAGGGAGCAATACCACAAAAAAAGACCTTTCTTGTGGCTCGTCATTTAAGGTGTAAGCAGACACAAAACCCAAATTTGTGGACCACATCCTGCACCCCAGAACATGTTTAATTGAGGCGCTCAACACCTATCTTCAAAATTAGACTCTGAACAGGGCAGAAGTTGGAACTGCCAAGCTCTATACCCTCTTAATGGCCTGTCATTGGCCCTGACTCTCTTCTCTCCAGCACTTATCTGAGGGCTGTTGTCAGTGAGGCACATGGTTTGCAATTTTAACCTGCCTGAGGGTGAGCTACCTGTGGGAACATGACGGATGCCATCAGACCACCTACAACACATAGGCATTCCGTATCACAATTTCAGGCCTGCCTCTGGTCTCTCATCTCAAGTGTGTTTCATGGCTGTATCTCCACCCGCGTATCTAAAATGGCTACTGACCGAATTTCACCTAAATGTCTTTTTGGAGAGTGGAAGATATGAGACATGAACTTTTTGTGGGTGTTTTGTATCAAAATCCTTAAGATATCTCTGTTCTTTCACACCTTTTTAGTATCTTTAGATTGGTTGATTGTTTATTCCTATCCCTTGGGCAAAATCTTTATGTTCTCACTCATGGTGAACTTGGAGACAAAAAGGCACTTTATCAGGTGGATGTTGATGTAAGTGACTCCACTGCCTTCCAACTCCACTGGAATTAAATTCTGGGCGGGAAGGCTGACAATTGACTCTCTTGCCCAGTTGAAAATAAATGTGGTCTGAAAATAGACTGATATTTTCTGCTTATATATGGGTCTGAAAGGGTTAATACTGAGGACTTTCATAAGTAGTGATGATGTCAAATGGGCAAAACAGCTTAGGATCTTGGAGGAGGGAGACATAATATCTGGTCCCCCTCAAAGTCTGCGTAGTAATGTTTATCGTATCAATGTAACCTGTAACTAGCTGCTAGCACACAATAAGTTTGTTTTTCTTGTCAACAACAAGTGAGTCTTCTATTTGGACCAAGTTAAGGAGGTTTTCTTCTACCAAGTTAGATGTCTTTACTCAAACAGGATGGTAGCAGCAACCTTGATTCAGGCAGTAGATCATAACATTTTCCAACATCTGCACTGACCCGTTTTAATGTTGTATCTAATGTCCCAGATATATATTCACATTTAAAATCACAATCAATTAGAATGTACTTTATTGCCAGTGGAAATACTGCCCAGAATAGTTAAGTATTTACCACCCAGATATTTAATTGATCTATGCCTTTACCCGAAGCA